TCATAAACATCTTGATAATCAGACAAGCGATCGGCTTGTAAAAGCCTTGGGGGTTCCTTACTGACCTAAAGGTTTATAATTATCATTGCAGCATGAGCTAATTCCAGGATTTTGTTTCAGAATCTGAGACAAAGTTACCGGATCCCTTTAAGTATTGGAAAGAAACAGAAATCTATTTTTTGAGGAGTAAGAAATTATATTTTCCACATTTCTTTCAGCACACAACGTGTCCTTCAGCGTAGACTCCTCTAACCAGATGGAGAGCAGACAATGATCAAGCTCATTTTACAGGCTGCCCTTTCAAATGCGTCCAAGATGAAGAAAAGGCCATTTCGAGCATTGGTAAGCATAATAATTGTCATATACTACAGCTAAATTATGTGAAGTATTAGATGCATAGATAATGATAATAATAAACTGTATTTGTATAGATCATATCACTTTTCAGTCCCTATGCACTTTAGTAAAAGTGAATTTTCAGTCTGTTTTTAAACTGGTCTACTATGACTGCCTCCTATACAATATCAGGGGTATGTTTCCCAAAGAGTTAAGTTTGACTTTAAAGATACTGTGTCCCTTTTGCAACCAACATCAAATTATGTAGAACATTGCAGGAATCATGAATATGGCATGTATGTCCTATATGTGAAATTTAAACGTTAGCAAAGTCCTAGTATTCAAATTATGTAAGGAAACCCGTTTACATTATAGACTTCACTGTCGGACAACATTGAGTGACTGACTGACTTCTTTTTTCTTTGGTAATAACATAGTACATAAATGAGCTGTAACATGCAGCATTTGTCTACATCAATAACCCACTTCTTATAATGGCCAAAATTAAACTGATCTGGTCTATGTGCAGCACAAATTATATGACCATTCGGTACAAGGGTCTGAAAATCAGACAATTTACTTCAGTGATTGCAATCTCTAATGTCGATTTGACAACTAATCGTCGTTGTTTTCCCACAAAAAGGTATTTTCAAGCCCTTTACTTTTGACAGAAGTTATAAATTAGTAATATCTTCCAAATGCCATTGGAATTTAATCTTTTCATTTATTTGGCCTGCAAATGGGACATTTACCTTTAAAGTGGCACTTAAAGTCCTAGTTACTTAATCTACCAATGAGATTTTGCGTTTAATAACGTATGCAAATTGGCCCTTACGTATGACTTTAAGTCAAACTTAACTCTTTGTAGAACACCCTTCAAGTCCATTTCATAGTTAGCTGTTGCTACTTGGAATGAGGTCAAACTCGCCATTATATGAAAAAAATAATACATATAATTGAATCATAGAAGTACATTTTTTATATGGTGCATGAATTGAAATTAACATATAATTCATTTTCTATTCCTTATAGACCAATGCTGTGTATGACCCGATGTCTAGGAAAGGACCCCTAGGATGCTCAGCGAAGGCTTTCTACAAAAAATTAATCATGTAACACTAAGGAATCTGTCACTTGTCAACAAAATAAAATGGCATTGTATTTTCATCTGTTCGCCTGTTCAATGCAGGGACCTATTTGCCTTCTATGCAAGGGGGGGGGGGGGGGTATGTATAACCTGTATTCCCTGGTCCGGGCAAGAAAGTAATACTGTTTCGCCTGTTCAATGCACGGAGTAGTGTCGCCTTTTTTATGGCCGGGGGGGGGGGGGGGGGTGTGTACAAAAGTCTTGTCTGTTGGTGGCCACGATGCAGAGAGTACTTAGAGTTGGACATGGTAGCTCCATGCTCCAATGTATGCATATGCAGATACTTGTATAAATGGATCGAAAAATTAATACCTGGGTCCTTCCTAGGGGTGGATTGTAGCAGTGTAACATGTAAAGTCAAAGTACGACAATGGTTTATCCTTGTATATATACACATTACACCATCTCGGAATCTTTGCTCAGCAGCCGACGCATGTAAACTTATCATTCCCAAATCTAGACTCTCAACAGCTGAAAAACGTTTTGCAGTAGCTGCATTAAAGACTTGGAACAACATCCCTCTTTCTATAAGGGAAATTACCTGTCTTGCCACCTTCAAAAGATCCCTCAAAACTTACCCTTTTCCCCAGTGATCTATGGGATCTACTTCACGTGAGAACATTTTGTTGTCCTCTTTTCATATATATATGTATTTGTAAGCGCTATGGTACTTATTGTTTTTAGCGCTCCTAAATATTTGATATTATTATTATATTCAGTTGGGAAAGTTTGTGTTGTAATTGTTGTTATTGTCATGATGTTGATATTCAGGGTAACAAGAAAACAATAAATCTCAAATAACCGCAAAAAACAGATTCTGTTTCTTTCGTTACTGTGAATGTAAATGAACATTTTTGGTAAAGCTCTGTGGGTTTTTTCGGCTACAATTGTTAACCCTTGTTTTTGTTATGCTTAATATGAAAACTGTCTAAAAAGTTATGACTGTGACCGCTTTATACTGTTATATATTTTTGTTTGTCATTCAACCATTAAAAACATTACACAATGCAATATGTTTAAAACAAATATAACATCTTTTGTATATTTTTGTTCTACATATCCTAATGTCGTTTATGATGACATAAGTGTTGGTAGTGAAGATGGCTATGGTGATGGGAATGATTGTGATAATCTGATGATCGTGAAGATGATGCTCATGTTGATTGTGTGTTGAAGATGAAAATTTCACCAAACATTGCATTTGCATGGTGTACTATTATTTAGCAGAATGGTTTTTCAAGTTACAATACAAATCAAATCTCTTAATCGACATATCTCATTTTGTCGAGATATGCTGTTGATCAGATAATCTAATAGATAATGATAATTATGTGGGTGATGATGATTTTGATTGATTGATTGATTGATTGATTTAGTTTACTTAATTATCAATATGATTTCCAGGAACATAAAAATCAAACATTAACAGTGTGATACATAATGAAATATCAACAAGAACAACAACCAATAGTGGTGATAAATATTCATTTCTGTTTGCCCTCCTTATTGGTTGTTAGGCATACATATAAGATGCAAATAAAGCAGATATACCTTCAAGAACATTATGTGACAGGAACAAAACAACAAAAAAAGTCGTGATTTTTTTAAAGACTGTGTGTGTTGGGGGGGGGGGGTGGTCATCAAAGAGGAAATAATGTAATTATGCAGATAAAGATTTTGAAATGTTTTTATCAACTGTTATTGATTGGTACATTACTAACAGAAATGAACATTGGGCCTACATTATTTGGGGCTTGATGGATCAGTGGCTGAACAGTGTTCAAATAATAATAATAATTATAATAATACTGAATTTATATAGCGTATTTTCCATATACATGTTCAAATGCGCTGTACAAATAACTCAGATTTTGGGTTGCAAACTGAATCTGTATGTTAATTGTACTTTTGTAGTGGCATAGGACGAGAAAGGGGGGGGGGGCACAGGCTCCCTTCTCTGCCCCCTCTAGCTTCACTGCCGTTTTTTAAAAGGCATTATTCCTCAATTTCAAGTTCCGCTATACAGTATTTAAAAGCCATGGGTGTCCACAAGTTATTATAAAGCATAATGCTTGCTTTGAAGGAAAAAATAAATAAATAAGGGATAGAAAACTATCACCGTATGAGAAATTGTTTAAATTACATGTATTTTTTTAAATAAAAGAGATTAAAACTGTTTGTAGATGTGATTATTATCAATCTTGAATAATGAAAATTTCAATGCTATGAAAATGATACACATGTAACTAAAATGCAGCATGTAGTATTATTGACTGGTGTTATTTACACACATTATAAGAATAAAAGAATAGTTAATACAAAAAGTAGAAGGCATTACTTTAGAAAACTTTTGGTGGCAGTAGAGGGCGCTATAATTATTTTTTGGGGACTTTAAAAAATGAAAAAGTGAGAACATATTTTCTCTACTACTTTTAAGCTTTAGGAGGATGGGATGATCATTTTCATTAAATTTTGATATTCAAAATATAGGAAATCTTGATAATAGGGCATTTCCCTGTATTATTTGCATTTTACTGTCATTTTTATCTGGCACACATTTACCAAAATAGTGAACTAAACAATAGAAAACAAAGGCGAAATTTTTAAGTAACACGATTAGGGTTAGAGTTTTAGAGTCAAAATTGTTGTTTTTTAGGGTAATTTTTTTTTGTTGAGGCTATATGATTGATATTTTCTATATAAATGAGCAATGACATTGAAGAAAACTGTAGAATTGACTGGTTCCTGTGAAACAACTTTACCATGTTATGGTCATATTTTCTGGAGAAAATGACTATGATGCCCAATAAATTCCATTGAGAAAAAATTATTAAAAAAAATATCGCTGTTTATATCAACATACAAACTGTTAAATTACTTTCATAAATATATTATCTAAGTACTAATACCAAAAGAGAACAATGTGTGATAAGATTAAGTGAAAAAAAAGTTTGATCTTTCAAGTAGAAGTAAAAACAATTTTTTACATTTGCTTCACTATGTTGGTCACATTAGGGGTTGTCTAGTATTATGTTAAAGAGGATACTTTTTCAAATTTGGAGAGGGAATAAAAGTGGATTACTGTATCATAGTAATTATTATAAGGGAATGGATTATTCCCTCTGCAAAAATTATATTCTCTTGACTTTTCAATGTCAAATCATGGTGAAAAAACCTGTGTCACAACTTTACCATTTTGTCAACCTGGTAATGGGTAAAGTTGTTGTCATTTTCCTATTCAAAGTGCATGAAAATGTCACAGTCTCATAATTGAGTGAGCAGAAAGGGGAGGGGCTCTAAATGCAAAAAGTGGACAACAACTTTACCATGAGAGACGGAGAGAGACGGAGACAGAGAAGGGAAGACAAATCAAAATAGATATTTAAACAAAAAAGTTAAAAAGGGGAATTTTTTAGCCGACATGGGAAATAAACCAATATTTGAGGGGATGGTAAGAGAGAAAGAAAGAGAAAGAGAGATGGAAAAGATTGATCATTCAAATATGCTACAGAATACATTAAATATAATTCACAATAGTAACATTAAAAATGTTAAGTATTTGATACATACATGCAGCTTACACATAATTATACATCTTATGTAGCTGCTAACTTCATAATGAATATTCATCATGGAAAAAAAGAACACAGATTATGAAAATTCTCACACAAACACACACAGAAATACTTTATTAACGAGGCATGATGAAACAAAACATGAGTCTCGGGATAAGGAGTGTTCATACATGGCACTGTATTGTTTAGTGTTACATGTGAAAATACTTATGCACCCTTATTCCAAATGACAGAATACTCTATTCTTGTATGGGGATTATCATATTATGATATGAAATTCCATATGCAATTCCAAAGAACATATTGCTTTCAATCGTAATAGTGATAACATTTTTCTATCTCGTATAGGGCTCATGTAGAAGTGTTGTGGTCTAGTGGATAGTCACCAGGGGTTTGAATCCATGTCATAGCACGAATGCCCTCTGGCAAGACATTCATCTAGATTTGCCACACTCAACCCAGGTGAGGTAAATGGGAACCTGGTAGGAATTAACATGGTCAAGAGAGATGCGAAGATGAAATGCCTTGCCAGAGGATATACTGGCCATGCACCAACCTATCGATTCTGAGTAAAGAGAATACTCCATCAGCAGAAGAAACAGAAAGGATAATTAAGAGGACAGTTAAAGGTATTTCCATCAAGTCTAGTGTCAGTGAATTATGACCTACTGCACATGCAAACTGACGGCCATCTTCCTTTAATCAGGGCCTATGAAGATAGCGTGTGTGAGGTACAGTCAAACCTGCTTTATGTAGTGATCACCCATCTACAAAGACCACTTATGGTGTTTCCCTTGGGCGGTCGCCATAGACAGGTTTGACTGTACAGCCTTTTTGAGACAGGAAGGTCCCATTTATGAAGATAGCGTGTGTGAGATATGACCTTCTTGAGACAGAGAGGTCCCACTTATTATGCGTATAAAGACACATTTGGTTTAGGTACTGCCATCATTTCTGTATCAGCCCTCTGGCCTGCGGGTAGAGCTGTGAGTTTGACCCAGGTTTGGCCACTGCTTTATGCCTGCAACAACAAAAAGAGAGGTAATAAAACAGAAACAAATGAATTAATGGTGCATTCAAAGCCTGTCTGCACTAGTTTGGCCAGGAGGGATTAGACCACCCATGGTGGTCACTGACAGGTGGCTATCTCATCAACTCAGCTCTCAATTAACAAAAGAAAAAGGGGATCATGGGGAACCAATGTTCACCGATTAGGCATTGTTTTCTATATAGAGGGAGCAAGTCGCTACAAGTAGTACATGGGGCTTTACATGGCTTTACAAGTCATTATTTTTTCCCATTCTTCTATCATGAGTGTATGATTTTGAGTGAAAGGCATAATTCAAATACATGGAATCTTGATGAAATATTTGTCTTTATAAGTTGACTTGTTAGTTAGATTTTAATTTTCAGTAGAATAAATAAATAAAAAAGGGAATGCTAAGTTTGTTCAATGTTTATTAAGTTCATTTTAAATATCTATTGCATTTCCTTTACTCAAATTATGTATTGTATTCAATGTATAGGTAAAATTAGCTATGCTTTTATATCTTTATTATATTGCAATTTGCATTTGTAAGCATTTTGATTTTCAATTGCAATTGAAATGAATGAAAAATATATGACTTGATTCGCTTTAACACATGAAATAAAATGTCTTACTTTGATCTGACTTTGTCTTTCTTCAGCTTTGTCTTGGCCTTGAAAACTTCAGGTCTGGAAAAAAAAAGGAAAAAATAACTTTCAACAATCCTTCAATAAATCCAATTCTCTAATGTTTGAACAGTAACATCCGTTGCGGTGGCAACCTTAGCTATCTTTCTATTGTTGCCACCTTATTCTGTTTCCCAAACTTGGGCTTTATAGACAGCTTGATAATTTGATAGTTTCAAGACCTTGCATGTCTATTTAAAACAGGTGCATACCTGTCTCCCCTGCCCCTCCCTTCTTCCCCCTCTCTCTACCCCCCCCCCCCTTCATATCTCTCTTTCTTCCCTCACTGAGGGTGTTGTGTGTTCCGTTCTCTCTTTCTTTCGTCTGCATGCTACTATTTATCAATGCATTCCAACCCATTCCACACCATACACAATGATTGCACTCCCTCCCTGTCTCATCATACTTGAATTTTCTTCTCTCTACCTAGATATTCAAAGCTTGTGATAACTTTGGTTGACGGCTCTCAGTTTATTCTGCCAGACCCAATATTTCTCGCCCATTCCGACTCCCCGCCCCCTCCCTCTCTCTGCCTGCCTACATCTCCCTTTCTTATCACCCCCCCCCCCCCAAACTCTTTTGTTCTCTCTCTCTCTCTCTCTCTCTCTCTCTCTCTCTCCTATCAATCTACCCATACTCACTGTACTTCTAGATCTAGATCATCTTCATCTTGCAGTGCTGCATCTAGAGCAGCCTGGACCCTGGGTGCTACCGAAGGACCCTCATAGTCTCGTGTTGTCCTGTTTGGCATATCAAGATCAACGGACAGGATGTTCTCAGCCTGCAGAGAAAAGGAGATTACAAACAAATAACTATAGTCAGACAGGCTTTTTATAAAGAGATTGGTCTATCATTAACATATTCTCAGCCTGCCAATGATAGAGTGTTATAAACATACAAAATCATGGCTCTTCTTTACTTTTTTAGAACTTGCCAACCAACAACCAAGAGGATTGTTCAGGGTTTTGTTTGTTGGAAAAGCATACAATCTACAATTTCCTTGTTTTAACAGTTTAAAGGGAGTTAATTGCATCAGAATTTCATTCACTGAAATGTAGGGTCATTATGAGATCCCAGTTCAGTGTTATGCATTCTATATGACTGTGGGTCCTGGACTTGACCTTGCAACATACATTGAATGAATAGTGCACCATTGATCTACTAAACCATTCTAAGCCACCCAAGATCTAGACAAACCTGCTTGAACGACCACCTGTCTACAAAGACCACCTGTCTACAAAGACCACATTTTTTGCTTCCCTTGAATATAGTTTCTCATTTAAAATGTACTAAAGGAACCTGTACATAAAGACCACCTGCCTATGAGGACCACTTTTCTTGTCTCCCTTGTGTGGTCTTTATGGACAGGTTACACTGTATTACTCTGTATTTCGAAAGACATTGTACATGCATGTATCACCAATAAGTTGGACTATTGTAATGGTCTACTGTATGGGATCCCTGACTGTCAAATAGTGAGATTGCAACGGGTTCAAAACACCTGTGCAAGGCTGATCTGTGGTTGTTCTAAATTCACACGGATCACCCCAATTTTAAGAAATCTACATTGGTTACCAGTACGCCAGAGAATAACATTCAAAATGTTGCTGATTGTATATAAAGCACTTCTTGGTCAAGCTCCCACTTATATCAAAGAACTGTTGAATTTCAAACCTAATCAACACAATCGCAACTTGCGCAGTTCCCGAGATACTTTGTTGCTACAGATCCCATCTATCAAAACAAAAATAAGACTAGGTGATCGAGCATTTGCTTGAGCAGCCCCAAAACTCTGGAATAACTTGCCATTTGAAGTCAGGAAATCACCATCTGTAAACGTCTTTAAGTCAAAACTGAAAACACTCCTTTTTAATTAACTGTACCGTAAATCTAAGCATATCAGGAGCTCTTGTAGCGCAGTAGAATATATACCTAATGTTGGAGAGTTTCTGCGCTCTATAAATGTACTATTATTATTATTATTATTATTAAAGCAAACCTGGGGGGTGTTTCAAAAAGCCTTTTTTCAATGACAAATTACAAAAATCAGTAACAAATTTGCTGATAACCAATCAGAAGCAAGGATTTCAGTAGCTTATAACATAAACTGTCATTTGTTACTGATGTCAAGTTTTGTGAAATGGGGCCCTGATCTATGTTGATACCTTGTATCTTGGGTTGCCACCCATCTGTGCTGCCATACGAGCGTAGTCTGCGATGGGACGGCGGTTACCTACAGCAGACACTGGTCTCTTGGCCATCTGAGAGGGTCTGGATCAGAGAATAAACATATTGAAATTTTAAAAGTAAGAACATTGATGTGGTGGTAGAATAGATATGTCACCGCACTGTGCATCACAAGTTCATCAGTTGGAGTCCCACCGCGGCACTAAAGTCCTTTTGCAAGACATTATTCTGCATTTGCCACACTCAACCCACATCAAAGGTCAAAGAGGTTGGTAGAAATTAGAAGAGACATCTACTAAGTTTCAGTCATGAGAATTACAGCAATCTTACTCTTCAGCCTTTGCTAGTGGGGTTGGTAACCATTCTTCATCAAAATACATCCTCTGCTAAAGAAGAAAACTACCAATTCTCAAACATAAGGTCTGTAGGAGACTTACCCTTCAGCCTTTGCTAGTGGGGTAGGTTACCATTCTTCATCAAAATACATCCTCTGCTGAAGAAGAATACTACCAAGTTTCAAACATAAGGTCTGTAGGAGACTTACCCTTCAGCCTTTGCTAGTGGGGTAAGTTACCATTCTTCATCAAAATACATCCTGTGCTGAAGAAGAAAACTACCAAGTTTCAAACATAAGATCTGTAGGAGACTTACCCTTCAGCCTTTGCTAGTGGGGTTAGTAATCACTCTTCATCATGTGCTTAAGAAGAAAACTACCAAGTTTCAAACATAAGGTCTGTAGGAGACTTACCCTTCAGCCTTTGCTAGTGGGGTTAGTAACCACTCTTCTGTCTCTTCATCAAACACAGCTCTTGTCGTGATCTTAGTCCTCTCCTCCACAGGGATGAAGTTATCAGCTATCACCTTCCTGTTTGCATTCAAGAAATAATTGTAGAAATATCAGGAATGAGTTCATTTTGAGTCTCTGTTCTGAATACTTAACTCCCCACCCCCCTCCTCTTTTCTATCTCTATCTCTTTGTCTCTCTCCCCCCCCCCCCCCCCCCCCCCCCTCTCTCTTTATCTTTATGTCTGTCTCTCTCTACATTTGTACTAATGGAAACTCTGTCCTTATTATCTCTTTTGAAATGACTTACTTGAGTTTGAGTTCTCGGATGAGTTCATTTTGAGTCTGCTCCAGCTCTTGTCTCTCTCTCGCATGCTCATCTTGTAAGTCCTGTATATCACTCTTATAGGACTGTAGCTTTGCAAACAACTGTAAAAAAAAACAGAAATCAACCAGATTTTCCTTTATCAAATTGGCAACACTTGTCTTGTGTAGTAAACATCCCTATAATGACTAGATTTACATTACATGAATCCACTCCAAGGGATGCTCAGGCACCTAAAAAGTACTATTATTATGCTGGCTTTAGCCTGGCTTCCCTAAGGAGCTTAAAGCCCGTCTGTACTAGTTTGGCTAGGAGGGATTGGACCACCCAGGAAGGTCACTGGCAGGTGGCTATCTCATCAACTCAGCTCTCAATTAACATAAGAAAAAGAGGATCATGGGGGACCAATGGTCACTGATTAGGCATTATTTCTATATAGAGGAGCAAGTAGCTCGTAGCTACAAGTAGTACAGTGGGGCTTTAAAGCATACAAGGAATATATTCCTACCAAGTACCCTTTTACTAGACTTGGGTGAAGAGTGGCAAATGTAGATTAATGTCTTGTCAAAGAGTTTGGCCATTAGTGCCATAACAAGACTTCAACTGAGAAACATGTGATCCATAGGTCGATGTCATATCCGCTAGATCAGAACACTTAATCCGTTCTTTTATTCCTACATTGATCTTAATCTTTTTCACAAATTGCGAGTTCGGAGCTTAACAAACCTCAGCAATAAAGGTACCTCCGACTACAAGTGAAATGAAAAATACAGTCGACTAACACTACAATGTTATGTTTTTCAGGGACTCTATTAGGCAGTACAGTGGAACTTGGTATTATAACGAGGTCCTTGGAACCAAGGGAATTACCTTGTTATATCAGGGTAGGAAAACAAAAGAATATAAAGAGCTAGGACCAGCAAAATCACCTTGTTATATCAGAGGTCTTTATACTGAGGTTTCACTGTACAAATGATGAGGGTTTCTGATGGCAAAAATCTTTATTCAACTCACCTTTTTGAGTTTCTTAGTCTTGACCTCTACTTCTTGTTGAAGTGATGAGAACGTTCCTTCTATCTCCACCGTCTTGTCATCTTGCTCCTTCAGCTTCCTCTCCATATCTCTCTCACGATTCTAGGAATAAACAAAGAATAACAATAAAGTAAATAATTAAGATGTATATCTCCTCACCATTTCTATCTCATTATTCTATGACAAAATAATCTCCTCATCCTCCACCTAGCTGTGTGTGTCTGAATGTATGTATGTGTGTTGCTGATTGAATATTCATATTATTATAAGATTTATTTTTATGTTTGCAATATGTATAATTGCTCAAGGGGTCCTGTTTACAAGATTTTGATTCTTTAGGGCTCCTAATCTTTATTACTTTGTATATGATTATATTTTAAGTATGATTCTGAAATGGTTGAATACATGAAATGAAATTTAATGAAACAAATATTTGCCTACCTTTTCCTCTGCCAGTAGAAGCCTCTGTTCTTCAATCTTCCTCTGTTGTTCATTGGTATGATCCACGATACTCTTCCCTCCGACCAGTAGCTTACTCTCCATAGCCTTGATCTTGCCTTCTAACATCTCCTTTTGTTGGTGTTCTTTCTTTATCTCACCTTGACGCTTCTGGACCTCACTCAAGAGCTTCTGCTTCTCCTGTTACAGTTATTCATTATAATATATAATTATCTATATAAGGCTTCCAAGTGGTACAATGAATCAGTGTCTTTAGCGCAGTACCTGGATGACCGAGAAATATAGTTTTTGTATTGCTCAGTCATCAGAGAACTTCAACTATTGATATTAATATCATATCAATATCACACAAAAACAAAGCCATATTTACCGAGGTAAGTCAAATTTTGTTATTTCACTATTCAGAATAATATAGATAATATTAATAATATTGTATGGCTTTGTTTTTGAGCGATATAAGAATTATGTTACTCTCACTAAGACAGTACTAGACTCGTCCAATATTGTCATAGCTCGAGCAATATATTTGTGTATCACACTCAAAGTCATCCGATATTATATAAGTATTCAAGTTTAATTCTGTTCTATTGGTGGTGTTTTCTCTGGCAATATATTATGTTGAGAAGGATTTAATACTATTTTCTTTATAATATAAGGTCATCCTCATCATCATTATCATCACTACCACCTCCCCCACCATCATCACCAGCACCCCAACTAATGCCATAAAGACCACTACCATCATCAGCATAATCATGTCATCTACTACCACCAGAATTGCCACCATCACAACCCTTCTCCACCATTCTTATAATCATCATCATCACCATCATTATCATTATCAACACCATCATCATATCATCATCATCACCATCATCATCACCACCATCATCATCATCACCATCATTATCATTATCAACACCATCATCATATCATCATCATCACCATCATCATCACCACCATCATTATCATCACCATCATTATCATTATCACCACCATCATCATATCATCATCATCATCATCATCATCACCACCATCATCATCATCACCATCATTATCATTATCACCACCATCATCATATCATCATCATCATCTTTGTCACCATCATCAACATCAGCGTCGCAATCAGCATCACTTACAATATCATCACCACCTCCACCAACAAATCTGCAAGACCACTACCACCATCATCATAACCACCAACACCATCACCACTACCACAGCCAACAATACCCCCATCATCATCATCATCATCATTATTGTCATCAGCTCCGCCATCAGGACCACCACCAATATCATCATCACCAACACTACACCACGCCAACGACCACCACCACCACCACCACCTCCATCCCCACTACCAAAATCACAATCATCCCATTTTTCAAGTTTACCTCTGCGATCATGCTCTGGTTGGCCATGATCTTCTCTTTCTCCTCTTCTAGTTTCTGTTGAGATTCCTTGTACATCTCCTCTTCATCCATCTCGTCTCCTTCCTCCTCAGTCTCATCTTCAATATCATCGTCTCCACCTAGCAACAAAGATAAACAGAAGATAAATCAATATCATTGTCCCCACCTAGCAACAAAGATAAACAGAAGATAAATCAATATCATCGTCTCCACCTAGCAACAAAGACAAAAAGAAGATACATCAATATCATCGTCTCCACCTAGCAACAAAGACAGACAGAAGATACATCAATATCATCGTCTCCACCTAGCAACAAAGACTAACAGAAGATACATCAATATCATCGTCTCCACCTAGCAACAAAGACTAACAGAAGATACATCAATATCATCGTCTCCACCTAGCAACAAAGACTAACAGAAGATACATCAATATCATCGTCCCCACCTAGCAACAAAGACAAACAGAAGATACATCAATATCATCGTCTCCACCTAGCAACAAAGACAGACAGAAGATACATCAATATCATTGTCCCCACCTAGCAACAAAGACAAACAGAAGATACATCAATATCATCGTCTCCACCTAGCAACAAAGACAGACAGAAGATACATCAATATCATCGTCTCCACCTAGCAGCAAAGATAAACAGAAGATGAATCAATATCATCGTCTCCACCTAGCAACAAAGACAAAACAGAAGATGCATCAATATCATCGTCTCCACCTAGCAACAAAGACAGATAATGATAATAGGCATTTATATAGAGCCTTCTATCAAGAGAATTCTATTCCCAGGCGCACAAGAAAAATAGAAAGAATGAAAATGAGTTTGGATGAGTGTCATAGTGCCAAGTACAGGTATAGTTAAAAAGATAAGATTTCAGCAAGGATTTAAAGGTCTCTAAGGAAGTTATGTTTCTCAAATTAAATGGTGAATTATTCTAAAGAGAAGGTGCTGCAGCTGAAAAGGCCCTTTAGACAGACAGAAGACGTATCAATGAAATGATACCAGCCTCTCTTTTTAGTGATTATCGTCCCCTTTTTTCTTTTCTAACAAATAATAGCTATTCTTTAACAAGACACACATGTTCCAGTATATTATATATTGAATAACCTGTTCTGTCCATCACCAATAAAAGATTAATCTTTTAATTACATGTTTGGTTTAGATAATATTTTGGCCTCACAGATTTGTATTAATAAAACACATCTTGGCTCCATAATTTCACATTTGTTATAAGCTTGTTAAAGCCTTGCTTCTGATTGGTTATCAGCAGATTTGTCATTGAAAAAGGCTTTGTGAAATGGGTCCCTGTTCTATCTTTGGTTCTTTTAAACTGTTGACTCCTGAATGCTCTCATTCTTATAGACTTAATACAGATACCACCCAGCTCCTGTAGGCGATGGGTTAGCTTCATACCTTGTTCTCCTGGTTTTCTCTTCTTTCCCTTCTTCCTTCCGTCGCTTGGACCTTTCTTATCTAGAGCTTGTTTCAGTCTTGAGATCTCCTCCTGGAACTCCCTCAGCAAGGCATCCTTGGGGTCTTCATTGATCTTAGGTTTGTTCTTGATATTCTTGGCTCTATTAGCATACCTGCATTAGCAACAACACAGATTTCAATAAATGGGACTTGCCATGCTTACACCAATTGTAATGCATGGGACAACAATTCAGATGATAAGACACCAGACATTACAATACATTGGACAATGGTGATAATCTACTGAAATTCTCTTAGCAACAAATTCTTTGAGGTTTTCATTGATCTTAGGTGAGTTCTTGATATTCTTGGCTCTGTTAGCATACCTGCAACAGCAACAACACATATTTCAGTATATGGGACTAAGGTTGAAAATGCTTACAACAATTGTAATGCATGGGACAATGGTGATTATCTACTGGGATTCTCTGAACAACTCACCTCAATGTGGTGATGGTCTCATCAAAGTTATAGCTAGCAGGACCCATGTTAGCCACCATGACTGTCTTAGCGTTGCCACCGAGGGAGTCCTGTAGTAACCTCGTCAGCTTGGAGTCACGGTACGGTATGTGGCTGCTTTTACCTGCACAACAGAATTATACAAAGGGAACATGTAAATACACACATAAAGAGATACAAGAAGTGCAAATTTTATCAACTTCATATAAATTTTACTTCTGTAAATGTGTAAAGGAAAAACAATGTTAACAGGCAAAAATGTGTGGTCTATATTAGACGGGTTGTCTTACTTTCTAAGAAGGTGGCTTCTGGAACAGGTGTCACTAATATGCATTTAACCTACAAAAAAACCTCTGAAAGTTTCCTATAGCCATACATTAGTGCTAAGTGTTGGCACTTGTGGATAGCCTTGGAAAATGTCTGAATTGTCCATATTGTGTTCACAAACTCAGCAGTGCCATAGTCTTGTTTCCAGTACTATATATCTCAATCTGACACACATTTATTTATCATGCAGTAGATCACTTGTTTTGACAAGGAAAATAGAAACAAACGGCACTGTGAATGTGCTTGAAATCACATTGCTCAAAAGACACGTTTGCATGTTATGAAACCATCATAGTGTGAAGCCCGATGGCTCAGTGGTAGAGCAGCAGCCTCATAACCGGGAGGTCCCAGGTTCAAAACCAAGTCGATGTGATAGTGCCCTTTGGTTAGGCAACAATCTTCATTACCAAGTCAGGCAACAACAACAAAAAATACAAGATAACTAACCATCAACTAGAGCCGAGATGACATTTCCAAGAGCCGATAAAGATAAGTTGATCTTTGTAGCTTCCTTCAAACGGTCACCCTAGTGAGAGAAAGGTCAAAGGTTACATTGAGAGGTAAAAAGAGGTTACAGAAACTTAAATGTGTTTTTTTAATGAAACTCATGATTTACAACGATTCCAACTTAAATAATAGATGTAGGGAAGTTGTCTTCTTGGAGGTTCTTAGACAAGATTTGACTACATAAATAATAAAGGAATATGGGTTCATTTGAAATGTCTAAATTATAGAAAATGAACATAAATGTATAAATATAATCAAAAGATCTTGTTGTACATGTATTTGAAAAAGGACTCAATTATGATTCTACACTAACTGTAAAAGAAACAACAAAAATTACAGGGTCGCTTTCAATCAGTTTCGGGTATGGCAATTTTAATTTTGCTGAGCTGGACCACAAGAAGTTTACAGTTTCATGGTAACTCACATTTTGTGAGAAAAACAGTTTGACAAACGTTTATAAAAGCATGATTCTCATAAACCTGTGACTCTCTTTTGAACTGGTGCTCCTACTTTAGCCACTCCCTCAAGCTATTAATTAAGAAGGCATTGGATTGAGAAGGGTTAACTTACTGTTGCACCAGTCTTTGCTTGTCTCTCACTACCAGCCAGATCTACCAGGTTGAGTTTACCCACTCGTATATGATTCTCACCATCTACACCAAGCTGTGAAAGTACAATATGTAAAGAAGATTGTAAATAGGCTGTGCAACCACTCAATATCATCCTTGTAGCGATGGTCATGTGACAGCATTTTGACCAATCGCATATCAGTATCAATATAGGAAATTTAATATCAACACCGAGCTGTACAAGTAAAAATCCAAGTAAGGTGGGTGAAGAGAAACAAATCTGGATAAGGGTCGATATGCAAAAATGATCGTGTCTAAGGACACTATAACTAACCGTGTCTAAGGACATATGCAGAGAGATGGAGGCATGATAGCTCAGTAGGTAGAGCAGTGGTCTCTAAATCCGGTGAACCGGGTTCGAAACCAAGACGATGCGCTAGTGCCCTTTGGTAAGGCATTAATCCTCATTACCAGGTCTCTCAGAGAGGACCTAAAGCCATCGGCCATCTGGTTGCTTACTTACAAGCATTTATTTTATCTTAGCAGTCAGGTAAGATAAACAACACCACAAAGATGGATGTATTATGGAGAGGTAGGAAAGTATTATACACATACTGTGCTCAAGAAAATTGAGTTCTGGGGAGAGGTGAACAATAGTGTGTGAATGTTTTCATTGTTATTATGCAAGTATGGAAGAACATCAGAGTAAAGATGATTGTTTTAGATCGGATTAAAAATCTGCCCAAGCAATGTAAACTATTGTTTTTGTCAGAGGGGAGCTGCAGAATTCTATATTCACAAAATGAGAGCACAACATTCATTTATCTTGGTTCTCTACTCTCCAGATCTACCAAGTTTGAGTTGACCCACTCGTTTGTGATTCCCTCCATCAGGACCAAGCTGTATGGATACAATTTCACATTAACTTGAAAATAAATTGTTTTCAAACAAGTGAAAATAAGCTGTGCAATCAATCAACCATAACATTATATCACTGGGGTACTAAAAACCTCCAGTTTACTTCTTAATCGTCAAGTATCTTTCTTCCCAAAGTCAACCAAGTGGAGTTTATTCTCACGTATATCGATCTCCCGGGCAAATCATCATTTCCAATATTGATAAAAAATAAGATGATTGTATTAAGAAGTCAACTGTAAACAACAAAAAATGCCCAGACATTCAAAAGGTAGGAGCCCATGACTAAGTATTATTTGTAATTTTTTCCTTTAATCTGGGTTTGTAAAACTTGCAGTGATATTTAGCTCTCGGGCTAACATTTTGTAGTTGGTTTAATAAAAACCATTCCACTTCTACTACTTCATGTTACATGTATCTTTACAAGTGAGAGTAAATTTTTGTCCCATTTGAATCTAAACTCCCAAGAATGAAGAGATGGAATTGATCCAAATTAATAATCACAACTTAAAGAGAGGTGTTGTGGTTGAGTGGATACGTCACCGGACTGTCCATCACAAGGTCCGCGGTTCGAGTCCCGCCACGGCACTAATGTCCTTTGGCAAGACTTTGTATCTACATTTGCCACACTCCACCCAGGTGAAGTAAATGGGTACCTGGTAGGAATTTATTTCTTGAAACGCAGCTCGCGTAACAGCTGCACTGCTAAAGCCAGGGTAATTATGCTGCATTATTGTAGAGCGCTTAGAGTCTTCTGATAAAGTAAGTGTTAGGCGCTATATAAGTAAGAATAATTATTTTTATTATTAGTAGTATCAACTGCTAAACTGATCATAGAAGATTAATTTGAGGCCCTTCAGTTTTGGATCCCTCACATCCATTTTATTACAAGATGGGGCACTGCACGGAATGGAAAGGGTCTATTACACCTCCAAATTGAATGAGACAAAATGGCTGAATTGTAAGAGGGTCCTGTCTAGTTTACCTCACTACACTCAATGGTGATGATGAAGATTGCATGAGATCTTGAGCTGTGCTCGTTCATATTGGTTGAACTGCATTGAAAGACAAGAGGAAAACAGTATAAATAATAATCAATTACAGTGAAACAAGAATAAACATTTTAAATGATAATCGATTACAATTACTGTCTACCCAAAATGAAAAATGCATGTTAAGTCTCAAGATATTGCAACTGTCAATTCCATTCACCTTCACGTAAATCAAAGAAGAAAGAGGATGAGAGAGATGGAGATAGGGGAAAAGGAAAAACAAATAATGTACAGACAAAAAGAAAACAAAAAAATATAGTGTGAATAAAGGACTTACCCTACTGATCTGTTGTTATTCCCAACGGTCATTACATGCTCTATCTCCTTCACACTCTTTGTCACAAATGAAGAAAGATCCTGAAAAAGAAAAAAATATATTAAAATGAATACTTGTTTTAGGAAAAGATCTACAAATACACCAGTTTACGGTTACAACTGTGCGCATGCTCAGACTTGGGAGCCATTTTAATTAACGGGTAAGCAAACCATTGACCTCTAGAGGTCAGTGGTTTACGCATAAATTAAGATAGCGCCCATGCAAATATGATGTGAGCGCACAGCGCAGGCAGTGATGCTACAATGCATGCGCATCTGAAAACATTGATGACGCAATGTTTACGCGCATATTAAAATTGCGGCCTTTACCGTAAAAGGGTGTATTAAAGCTAAGGGTATGGGAATCGTATTTTGAAAGAAAATTGCTACAATTTATTGAAGATTGTTTATCCTGCAGTAGGTTGATTGTTTGAACCAGTGAAAGTGCAAAAAGGTTTAATCCTTGGCATCATGTTTGATTTGATTACTAACCCGGATTTCCTTATCTTTCTATACTCATTACTCAGCCACTATACATTTTCTACCAAAATTGTTTGGCACATGTCATTTATTTGTAATCTTAAACATTCAGTGTATTAAAGTTTCAATGGCTTCTGTGGAAGTTTGTTTTCTATATTTACCAGAACTCAAGTTAACCTTTAAAGCCCCACTGCACTACTTATATCTACCTGTGCCCTCTATATAGCAAACAATGCCTACTCGGTGACCGTTGGTCCTCTTTTTCTTATGTTAAGTGAGAGCTGATTTGATGAGATAACCACCTGTCAGTGACCCTGCAGGGTGGTCTAAACTAAGGCTGTGCACAACAGTGTAATGAGGTACCCGAGCACACTCCCAGGCTCACAAGCAAATACTCAAATATTTGGACGCCATGTTTTTTTATAATTTTTATAATTTTTTTTAAATTTTTTTGATTTTTTTTTTTTGATTTTTGATTTTTTTTTTTGCCACCACCATACCTTTGGAGCAGTATCCCAGTTCTGTCGCCAAAAACGCATGCAATTTAACTTCAAGTTGCAGTTGAAGGCGCCGATTTAATAATAATAATAACAGTAAACAATGCTGTTTTAAAAACCAAAGATGGCAGAATAATCCATTTTCCTACAAGTCCAAACAGAAATCAAGACATTTGGTCCCAGTTTCTGAGTGGTGAGTTTGAAAGTGCTTGAGTTGGGAAACATTTTTACCGACGACACCATGCGGGCGGCCGCCGCTCACCCTGGCAAGGGTAAGCGTCGGCCTGGACAGATTTTTTTTTTTTTTTGCGGCCGAATATTCGGGTAAGAGAAATCGTACCCGAGTAGTTGTCAACCGTGAGGGTACTCGAGCATTCGACTACACGTCGCAGCCCTAGTCTAAACCCTCCTGTAAACTAGTATAGATGGGCTTTAAGCCTCAGTGAACATGTAATGTTAATATACAGTAGGCTTGCGGGTGCACCATGTGAGAGAGAGAGAGAGAGAGGATTGAGGAGTCCTGAAAAGGACTCTCGGTAATCTTTCTTGAGGATGAATAGTCCTGAAAAGGACGGATTGTGTAGTCTTGAAAAAGACTGTTGGTTATCTTTCTTAGCTTATACATGTCGTTCTAAGAAGAACTGGAGGATGAGTGGCGGGAGTGGCTCAACGTTTTGAACAGGTTGACTATCCGTCGTCAGGAGTGAAATGTTAAACATTCTAACTTGCACACTGAATGCTTGATAATAAGATGTAGATATATTACCTTGACATAGACCCCGGTATCTGGTCTCTCTTTCAGGTCCAGTCTCTTTTTCTGGTCTTTGGCTAATAGGTCCCGGATCTCCTCCTGTAACAAACAAACAAACAATGAGCCTGTTAAGACACTCACGGTGCAGGGGCCAGATTAAAGTCAAAACTGCAAAACCCAGAAAGAGGATTGCTGAATGCCTGATCATAAAATGTATGTAACCGGTATTCATTTATACACCAATAGTTCATGATATGATATACAGGTACAGATGTAAGTATTCTTTTCATAAGGGCAAACAAAGGTTATTAATGAAGCAACTACAATGTACATCACTTTGTCAGTGATAACTCTCTAAAATGCACAAACTCAGATTTCTCCATATCTAAAAGATCTGTAGTGATTTGGGGGAAATTTGTCCTGGTGCTTGCCCTATAGTAGTCCACAGGCTGGACTGTTTCTGTGTCGCGCGACAAATCAGCTGAGAAAAAAATACACCCTCATCGGTGAACTGGTGACAGTAGTCATTGCCTCTCGTTCTTTTTGACGGTTGTTTTAGGGATCGCGCGATGAGTGGAGACACCGCGCTATGTGTGGGATGCGTGTGATTGAAGAATACAAAATGTAAAAACAAACAAAATCTGGACTAGCCCTGAAGATGTTTGTGTCCGTGCTGAATGTATGTGAGTGAAGATGTGTTCAGGCGAGTCTAAGTGAGTCTTACCTGATAAATTTCTAGATATGATGCTCTGACGAGGAACTGTTGGTTCTGTGTGCGTGCTATGTGAGTGAAGATGTGTTCAAACGAGTTTGGAATGACACCCCTAAGCTCAGGATTGGATCTCACACCTGAAAAAAAGATAATGAAACAATAACCAAAGTTCAATTTTAGGCATGTAAAAGGAAGAGAGTACAGGTAAGAGATAAATCAGAGACCAATTAGATAACAATTACCAGGAAAAAGTTGACTAAAAACAATGACTACAACAAGTTGTTTTTTATTTTGTATATTTTTTAATTATTTTTTTTAAATAAAATAAAAATAAGATTATTATTATTATTTATGTTTTTATTAGGTGATCTGCCGCAGAGACAAATTCTCCCATTGAGTTTCTACATGTGTCATGTCTCGATCAAAGTGACAGATCACCTTATTAACTGTGACATATTTTATGTCTAGTTTATTATTTGTTTTATAAATACAGACTGCCATACATACATCCCTTCTGCTCCTGAATATTATGTTCAAGATCACATGAATACCCATGGATGTATATGAGAGGGTATAAACATTCATTGGTAGTACTACTCTGTTCCATTGGGGAACCTAATATTCAACTATTTCTTGTATATTATAGTATATAAAGACAATTGATTTGAGAAATTCAACATGACAGTCGCTCTGCTACATGTATAAAGAGCACTATGTCATTTACAGTCTTAAAGATTATACACACTAACCACTGGACTTGAGACTACTTAAACACAAGGCTTTTGAACTTTGAACTTTGAACTATGTTTTCAATGGATGGATCAAATACCGCTTAGCTGGTGAATGCCAGATATTTCACAAACACTCTACTCCCTTTTCACTTTCTTTCATTTTATACATTCAAACTGAGAATACTTGAAAATTGAATTTTGATTTGATTAAGTAACATTTGCCATTGTTGTTTTGGATATAAATGTATCTCGTCTGTCCCTATTGTGATGTCTCCCATATTTGTTATTACATGTATGTTGTAGCTGAGACCTAACCCTAGTACACACGTATAATGAATCAATTTTTGATCAGAAGACTGCATCATGGCCAAAATTCTGATTCTTGGTATGTGCTATCTCCCATTTAGTTTGTGCTATAGCACTTTATGTCTTGTACAGTATTGAAGATTGTACACACTAACCACTGGACTTGAGACTACTTAAACACAAGGCTTTGAACTTTGGACTAAGGTCTCCAATGAGGAGATCACGAGCACTCCACTTCCTGTTCACTCTCACTTCTCTTTCGTACAAATGCATTCAAACTGTACACTGCTACATCCTTATCTCATAGTGGAGAAGTCCTCATCGCTTCATTGAATAAAACAAACTGTTCGTGAGTAATAGTTTACATTTATGATAAGAAATACTTTTAATCATTTTAACAAACAATTTCAGTATAGAAAAGTAAATAAAGTAATGGTTGTATTCTCTATTGGTTGATTTGAGTGCCGAGTATAATAACGACGCACTACATTACGAATGTAATGATCCCATGGTGCACGTATTATTCATATTCGCCTGACTCGGTATGAATATATCAATCATAATATCAATCATCGTGTTTTTATATGTTGTTGTTGTTGTTGTAATTTTTACCATGTAATGTGTGACTCGCCTACAGGGCTCCTTTGTTAAGCAGGCCTTGTGGCTCTGAAAGGACTACCCTGTATTTTAAAGAAGAATAAATAATAAATAATTAAATAAAGATATTGATGATCGATAGTAGAACAAGACAGAATAATAAAGAAAAATATTAAATAAAATGCTTGATATTCTATTTACATGTATGTCTATTTTTCCTTTACCCCTCGTACATGTCTTTTTTTCTATTTGTTTCCTGATCCGCTTCTCTATGTCTTCTCATAAAGTTTTTCGCTAATTTAATTTGTATTATTGTTCACGATGCAGGTTACTCGCTACCACTTGCTTCTCATCATGGCGTCCAAGTTCCCAGGAGAGAGAGATGAAAAGGTCGAGCTACGCACTAGAAAGGGTCATGACATGACATGGTCATGTGACAAACACGGGGAGCCAATCAAATTTTACTGCAAAGAACACAAAATCCCTGTTTGTCATCCATGTGCTACCAAAGACCACTGTCAGAAACCATGTGAGCTAGACGACATTGAGGATGTCATCTTGGATTGGAAGAGGAAACTGGATGACAAGCAGCAAGAGATAGAGGAAATGAAGAAACAACTGAAAACGCTTGACTTTAAACTTGATTCCAATGTAACCTCTGCAAGTAACCATTTTCAATCAATCAACAATGATATTAAGGTGGCATTCAAAGACAAATTAAAGATTGTGAAAGACCAGGAGAAACGATTGATTCGTTCGATCGACGAGGAGGCAGATAAAGAAATAAAAAAGTATTAATGTAAAGAGGGAAAGGCGGATCAAATCATGTCACGAAGAAGCAGAACAACAACAACTAATCATCACAGAAAGCCAAGCCAAAGTCGAATCAGAGACAAAGGCAATTAGCGAGGTGGTTGCTAAAAAGATAAAAGATCTCACAAGTAAGAATCAGCATGCAATCAGCACTATGGATAATGGTGACGTCAAGATCAAACGAATCAAACAAGATGACAAAACGTTAGTGCATGAAGCTCATCAAGTACTTGCATCACTTGATGAAATTATAAATGTGATTGTTCATCAAGATGTTAGCGACTGTCTTGACAGAATACAGTGTGAAGTTCAGAGATTGAATTTTGTTGAGGGCGAAGTAGCTGGGGAACACTATGGGAGAATTGATGGTTATATCGGTAAATGGGAGCTTGTCAAGTCGATCCAAATTCCATCAACTGTACAAGGACCGGCTGTTTGTGGTTTGATCAGTGATGATGAGATATATATGTATTACCTAGATGACAATGCCACGTATGTTACAAATATCAGCACTGAACACACAGAGAAAGTCATTGAAGGAGAACGTAAGGTAGATATTACCTCATGCGCCCCCATAGACAGCAACGTAATAGTATGTGGTATTAAGAGGAGACTACCTATATATTGCATCCTGGGTGACAGTTTGGATGGATGCATCACTCTCTATGACAGACAATGGAAGGTGATTAGAGACATCAACATACCGAGGAATAACAGCTCTAATAATTTGAGTGTGTACGTTGATGTTGACTGGGATGGGATGATCCTCGCGGCTGAAAGCTATCAATGTAATATCTATGTCATCAACCCTGCTGATGGTAAGATAGTAAACACTATTACGAAGCAGGGCAAGGTGGTGGAGGGTGAGATACAAGCCTTGTCATCAGGTGATATCGTTGTGCAGACAGGTAGTAATCAATACACTGTCATCTCACGATCAGGAGAAGAGAAGGCTGTCATACATTCTGATGATCATGAGTGGTGCGGGTCACGGTGTCACGTTGACAAACTTTCAGACACACTCTACATCAAGTACTGGGATCCAGAGCGTACTATCTACGCAGTTGATCAGGTGTCATGTGATGGTGTCATCCAGGCAAGGAGGATTGTGGAATACGAGGATTCAGACAGATGGTCCCCCTTCTTGTGCGCATGCATCGTAACCCCTACTGGTAACCTTGTAGCTTGTGACGGGGCGAGCCTTCTTGTTTATAAAAAGAGTTTCATTGTGTAATCAATACAAATATCAAACATTCCTTGAATCTTGTTATTAACCCAAATAATGAAGCTGAGCTCTTTCTTTTCTCAAATACCTTTATAGTTGAAAAGAAAACTTAAACTTCACGTTTTTATTTAGTTGTTAAGAACATTTTTTTAATGAAATACAAAGCAAACAAACAGCACCGCCCCTGGTAGAATTAGTAGTAGTAGTAACAGTTATAATAATCAAGTAATTTTGCCTGCCTTCAGGGCAATACGAGATATCTTACCCGAACCAAAGGTGAGGCTGATATGACGAGTTGTATTGACCTGATTTAGGCAATCAACATCTAGAGCAAACAAGAAACTCTTACTATTGTTGTGAAAGTGCACATGAAAATACTTTATCACACAAGTCATTTGTTTATTTGTTCTATCGATGCATGACATATATTTGTAATAGCACTTCCTCATGCAATATGTCTAATATAGCGCCATCTATTGCTGGAACACTCAGAAGTCTACATAAACATGTGTGTGTATGTGTGTATGTAAGTATTTTTTTTTTTTTTTTCCACCTCTTAAATGTCTTTTTATGTTCATGCCTTCTTCATGCATGCATGTTTCATGCTTTATTTGATGTAAATTGCAAAAGTTCAATTGTATTATTTAGATGTGAATGTAAAATCATATTTTGTATAATAATATTAACATGCAGATTACTTTATGTATTGATTTTGTTAATGTTTGTGAAAAACAATGGAGAAAATGAAATATCATTGGAGAGAGGGAAAGAAAAAGGGAAAAAAAACTTGTCAAATGTGGTCTAGCGCCATCTTTTGTTTAAAACATTATAGGAATATCTTAAACACTCATTGCCATTGTTCTTTTCCGTTACAATATTTCAAAGTCGCAAACCGATGCAACTTTTAAGTTCTCAAAAGTTTAGTTTAGTGATTGGATAGTATATTGTATGTAATGGTTATACCGTGTATACATGAATTACATAGGTATATAATAGTTTTTGTTTTTGTTTTGTTGTTTTGTTGTTTTTGTTTTTTTGTTTTTTTTAATGCCATTTTATGTTCATGCCTTCTTTATGCATGCATGTTTCATGCTTTATTTGATGTAAATAGTAAAAGTTCTTTTGTATTATTTAGCTGTGAATGTAAAATCATATTCTATATATAATAATATTAACATCCAGATTATTTTATGTATTGATTTTGTTATTGTTTGTTATTATAATATTTGTTATTGTTTGTGAAAAGCAATGGAGAAAATAAAATCTCATTGAAAACAAAAAAAAATGGTTGTGTTCAGGTTCAAGGATCCCCTTTTTCCAGCGGATCATGGGGATTTGAGTTGTGTATTGTCATTAAAATCAGGCAAAGAGGTTAGTTTTGTTGTATAGTTAATGCATTTTTATGAATTATCAAAACATAAAATAGAAATAAATGTTTTTGTTTTGGACTTCATACTGAGAGCCT